CAAAGCTGAGTGGCTGTTTGGGACAGCCTCATAAGTGGAGGATTAAAGTTATAATTAAAAAAGAAGTAATTCCTTATGCCATTTTCCTTATATAATCTTTTAGATAAAATAATGACTTTAGTAAATTGTTTCTTGCCATCTGCAAATTTAATAGTAATTAAAATTTTTACATATTGGTACTACTGATAGATTTTTTTTTTTTTACAAGTCTAAAAAAATAGATTTTTGTCTCATTTTTGTTTTCCCCAGGGAAGAAGCAAAGTTCAAGATTTCTGTTTTTGCTTTGACATTTACCAATGCAGAATGGAAGCGTTAAATTGATCAGGAAATGAAATTGATTTAAAATCATACTCTCCAATTTATTGAAGCTCTGACCTGTTGCAAAAGTATTAATGGCAACACAGTTTGATGGCTTGGTTTTCCATTTCGGTTATGAAATACAACTTTTGAAAATGTATTTGATTTAAAAAATTTGACTTTGTGGTTGTAGTTTAATGCATAAATGAGTGTATATAGTCTTGCATAGAGTTAAGACTACCATAATTTAAAAGTATTTATACTAAAACAAATATTTTCAAATTGAAAGTAGAATGCACTGTATACATTTCAGTGGGAAGCAGTGTAACATCCACTGTATTGTGATGTAGAAAATATATTGCCTGTTATGATGTTTATTGATGCAGTCGTATTATAGAGAGTCGATCCAAACTTCAGGCAGGATTGTGAAGAAGACCGTGGCTGACATGCCAATAGTACCTGCATGGTGCTCTCAGTGAAATAATATATTTTAAACATCCTTCACTTAATTGATGATTTAAGATTGCTGTAAATCACTGGGCTTTTCATACATTATACATGAATCAATGTATGAATTCATCGTTGACTTCACCGTCAATTAGGAAAACTTCTGTTATGAGGGGCGAATGTCAGTTTTATTATACATTACCTACTCAAAGTTGATTCTACAAATACAAAATTATTGGATTCTTCAGGTGCAGTGTAAAAGGACAGACCTTTTGATCTTTAGCCATTTTCTCCCTTAATAAGATTATTCTGTGTTCCCCAGTTGCATGAATTACATGCCATAATTGACTTCAGTGGAGAAATAACACTATTTTTCAGATGCAATTGGAAATAATCACATTTGCCTTGGACTTTGTATGCTGTAGGTGTGACATGAAATTGAAATAGACATGTAATGACGGCATACTCCTTTCAGTATAGATCTAAAAATAGTCATTATATTTCAGTGAAAATACATTTTATTGAAGTTTATCTTGATAGCTCTTTTAAGCAGTTCCTAAACAATTTTTAAAACAACTTATCAAAGTGATCTTTTAAAATTGCAGGATTCTGAAACCATGTGAAATAGGAAACGTAAAAAGATATTCAGTCAAAACCTGTCCACGTTGGAATGGGTCATTGTGTTAAGTGCTCGGGTTTAAAGATGAATGGTGATCTCCTCTGCCCAGGCTTCCCTGTAATAGTGGAAATAGCAGTTCAAAAATTAACTAAATTATAAGGTAGAACTATAATTAAAGGAAAATTAGAATATAGTGGTCACAAAAAGCATGGCGTGATTAGTTCTATTGAGAATCGGGATGCTCCGTAGAGAAAGTAACATTTGAACTGGGTTTGAGAACTTAAGGATTTCTACAGAAGAAATGTTATTCGAAGTCTAGTTGCAAAGGAAGCCAGAGTGAAGGTGAAGAGATGTGTGTGGTACCACAAACGCGATTGTCTGAAAGTTCCTCCAGTCTACCTACAGGTGTAAAGTGACCCAGCATGTGTTTTACAAGAGACCTCTGCCGGGAAGTGGTGTAGGACATTGTTAGAGAGGGTAAGCTTGAGCCTGTGTCTAGTTAGAAGGTCGCTGTTACAGTTCAAGGCGGGAGACAAGTTGATTCTGAGCTAGGGTTATCACCAAGGAGTGAAATCTTGGCAAAAAAACCCACAAAACAAAAAACTTTGGATCAAGAAGACCTAGCAACTGTGGGAATTGAAGAGAAGAGGGAAGAGTTAAAGATGGATTCTGAGTATGTTTGTGCGTGGTCCATGAGTTGATATAGGAGGTGAGTTTTGAGGTATCTTTGGGACTTCTTGTTGGAAATTTAGATGATAAATTTAGGAAAAGTTTAGGGCTACTGACCTGTGCCTAGAAGTTGTCAGCGTGGTTAGAACGCTTTGAAATTGTGCACCTTCTGAGCTTGTCCAGAGAGACAGTAGTAAGCAGTCCGTAGATAGAGCCAATGAGGCCATTTATGGGAAGAGGAGCATAGACAGATTCAGAAGGAGCAGGCAAGTTCCGGTAGCATACTGGATTCTAGACGTCAAAAAAAAAAAAAAGTGAGAATTTTGTGGTGTCTGGTCTCTTCATTTTAAAGACAGATATTTTTTCAAGTGATGATTTGTCATTATGCAAACACCCAGTTCCCTGTAAACTTTTCATCTAATCGTTTAGTATCCATTGATTATCTTTGCCTGAATTATTTCATGAAGAGTTGAAAGTGCTGATTTTTCTAATTCTGTTATTTAGTCTACTTCGATTATTTGTCGTTCTTCTGAAAAAACAATCTTCCTCTCATCCACTGGCACTGTTGGTTTCTCTGAAATACAATTTCTACTGAGAAAACAGGGTAGATTTTTAATTTTTAATACTTTCCGTTTAATTATTCATTTTCTAAGTAAGGAGTTGGTGTAATAATGAGCTCAAGTGGCGGAAAACGTGTATAAAGGCCAGGTGAGGACACGAGAAGTCGGTCATCTGCAAGCCAAGGAGAGAGGCCTTTGGAGAAACCAGGCATGCTGACTCCTTGATCTGAGGCTTGACTCCTGGAACTGCGAGAAAATAAATTTTGATTGTTTAAGCCAAAATAAATAAATAAAAAGCCAGGTCCCTACCAATGACATCCTCGAGATCCGTGAGGTAAAAATGGTACTCGAGGTTCACCACACTTTCCATCCTTCTCTTTGTAGACATTTGAGTTTCTATCACTAATACATTTATCTACCCTTTATGACTTATTTGAATTTCTTGTCCGGGGTATTGCTAGACTATCATGTGAAACAATATTTCCTTTTCTTTTTTTCAAGCTCACGTTTTCAGGTGAGGCTGAGTATTTTGACCCTTAGTTTCTTCGTTTTTTCTTTTCCTTTGACTTTGTCCATGTCGTCTCCTCCCCGTTTCCCTGTTCTTATGAGCAAAGCCAGCCCTGACCCCTGGGCATGGAAAAGTGTCCTCCTTCCTCCACCATTGTTCTTGCACCTGTGGTGTGCGCCATCACAGCTTTCTCTAGCTGCAGCGACCAGACATGCGTGCTTTTTTTTTTTTTTTTTTTTAGTAAAATGTACTTGCTGCTGAAGTTTAATCCTGCTACTGCATTTTAAAGGATTATTTTATTTTTTTGCAGGTTAACTCTTGGAAGTTTATAGCATTTCATTTCAAAATTTATATTTTTGAATGTCTGTAGGGTTTTTTTGTTTATTTCCATATGTGACAATATTGACATAGATCCAAGACTATTAATTCATTTTTAAGTTTTATTCCCTGATGGAACTCAGGAACAGAAATATTAAATAGTATCCTGGTCTACAACGGAAGTCTATGCAATGCAAACCTATTATGTTGCACTTTTTTGTTTCTACATTTGTATTCAGTGCTCATATAGTTTAAAAAATGAAGAATAAGAATCAGTTAATCATGTATATAGTATTTATAGCCAGACTACTCTTAACAGAGTACTAAGGGGAATATTTTGTTACTTCTCTTTAATTTGGCATGCTGATTGCTGATTTAAATGGGTCGAACTAGAGGTGACATTTTTAATTTGTAGGAGATAATTTAGATTTAGTCATTGAACTAAAAAGTTTGATTTTCCTACTTTATCCTAGCCTTCTCATTTCTTTTCAGAATATTCAGATTAAATTTTATAGCTCAAAAGCCTAAGCAAGTTGTTATAATTTGTTATTTGAAAGAAACATCCAGTAGCATTTGGTTGTTCTGGGGGAGTATTAGAAACTTAGTTGATTAATGTATGTATTTTTTGAGACAGGGTCTTGCTCTGTCACCCGGGCTGGAGTGCAGTGACATCATCATAGCTCACTGCAACCTCAAACTCCTGGGTTCAAGCAATCTTCCTGCCTCAGCCTCTCGAGTAGCTGGGACTGCAGGCATGTGCCACCACGCCCAGCTAATTTTTTTAATTGTTTGTGGAGAAAGGTCTCACTGTGTTGTCCAGGCTGGTCTCAAATTCCTGGCCCCAAGCAATTCTCCTGCCTTGGCTTCCCAAAGTGCTAGAGTTACAAGTGTGAGCCACCACGGCTGGCCTAGCTGACACACATTTATTTATGTAAAGACATCACTTGTCATAACCATGTCAGAGTGAACAATTATATGTGTGTATTATGTACCAAATATTTTGATGTGCCATTTTTTCTTGATATTTGAGTTAATGCCGACTACTAGCTAGTCAAGTAAGAACAACCCAGAAAATCTTAAGTCTCTTAAGCAAAGTCACAAATCTACGAGGATCCAAAGAAGGAACAAGTTTATTAATCTTTGTTTTCACATGCTTGGTGAATTATAGAAGATACCTCACAATATAATGATGAGATTGGAAAGAAGAAGAGAAGAGAAAATGTCATGAATGAGACATAGTTAAAGTCTTGTATAGAAGTATTTTTCACCTTTTGGTGCACATACTCGACCTGGGGGATTGATTTGGACAGGAGTGCCAAGTATGGTGTTTTGTTTATTGTGTGCATACCTGTGTGGCCACCTTTCCTGCTAAAGTCATTAGACTTCCCTGTCTTTGGCACATGACTGTAATTCTGAGGTCTCATCTGGGTGGAATGTCCTCACTCAGCTATTTTGTTGTAGGCTTGGAAAAGTATTTTAAATGTGTGGAATCATTTTTCTGCTACTTTTGAAAAGCCAGGTGCATCATTCATTTGCAAGGTCCAGTTTTTTACAAGACGCCTTTTTGTTTCTTTTCAAATAGAAAGATGAAAACTACAGAAGCCTCCCACGGGATACTAGTAACTGGTCTAACCAATTTCAGAGAGACAATGCTCGCTCGTCTCTGAGTGCCAGTCACCCAATGGTGGACAAGTGGCTGGAGAAACAAGAACAGGTAACATACGTGAATTGTTATACGTGTGTCGTTGGTGTGGCATTCTCCCCCGTACCCCAGAAGATGTCTCTCCCGTCACAGTGATGATGAAAAGTAAATTATTCTAACAAACTTCAGTTAAATACGGCTGTATATCGGAGTTCTTATAACATTAATGCAGAATGTTCCTTGATCAAAGATTTTTTATAAGCAGTTATAAATATTTGCAGTAGATCCTAAAGTATCATGATGTTAGAGTTGGTAGCATTGCAAAGGCGTTCGCAGAGGTGTTTGGCGGTGAATAATGCCGTTAGTGAGTAGACATTCAAGGCTCTTCTCTTCCTCGATAGACAGTACATCAAAGCATCTGAAGAGGCAAAAAAACTTTCCATTATACCCGACTTCACTTTATGAGAGAAATATATCCTCTGCTGTTGTTTCAGCATTTAGATGATGGCATTTTGTCAGCTTTGGGCACTTATCCCTTCATAAATGTCAAGGACCTGTTTTAGGTTTATAAGTTTCTGGAGTTGACTAGTTCACGCTGCAGGGCAGCCACCTACAATCCGTGAAATCAGAGTTGTTTACCACTCAGTGGAAATAATTGCTTCCTGTCTTGGGAAGAACGACTATTTATAAAGTTTTTAGAGAAGCCCTCACTTCATGTGAAGACTAAGAATTTATCCAGTAAGTTAATTCTTCAGTGTTATTTTTTTAACATCTTAATTGTTTATTATTTAGTCATAGTGGTGTGTTAATTTTTTTATCTTTTGTTTTTCGTGTTTTTTTTTTTTTTTTTTTTTAGGGGGAAATCTCAGTGTTTTCTTTGCCATTTTAATAGTTTTCCCCCCCAGCTTTATTAAGGAATGATTGGGAAAAATTGTATATGTTCGAGGTGTACGACATGGTGTTTCAATATATGTATAATTGTGAAATGATTACCACAATCAAAATAATTAATATATCCATCATCTCACACAGATACCTTTTTTTTTTTTTTGTTGGGGAGGATACTCGAGATCTACTTTCCCAGCAAATTTCAAGTATATAATACATTACCATTAACTATACTCACCATGCTGTACACTAGATCTCCAGAATTTATTCATTTTATGACTGAAAGTTTATTTTTTTGAATTCAGAATCTACATGTTTAATATAACCAAAAGTTTACCCTTTGACTAACATCACTTCTTTTCTACCACTCCACGGCCCCTGGTAACCAGCATTCTACTCTTGCTATGGGTACAATGTTTTTTTTTTTAAGATTACACACATATAGATGAGATCATGTAATATTTGTCTTTCTGTGTGTGGCTTATTTTACTTAGCATGATGTCCTTTAGGTTCATCCGTGTTGCTGCAAATGTCAGGATTTCATTCTTTTATGAGGCCGAATAACATTCCATTGTGTATATACAGACACCACATTTTTCGTTATCCATTCATCTGTTGTTCGACGCTTAGGTGGTTTTCATATCTTGGCTTTTGTGAATAATACTTCCATGTACATTGGACGGCAAATATGTCTTCAAGATAGTCATTTTATTTTATCTGTATATATACCCAGAGGTGGAATTGCTAGAACACATGGTAGTTGTATTTTTTATTTTTTGCGGAAACCCCGTGCTGTTTTCCATAGAGGTGGTACGAATTTACATTCCCACCAGCAGTGTACAAGCTTCCCTCTGCTCCACATCCTCCTCACTAACACTTGCTATCTTTTGACTTTTTGATCATAGCCATCCTAACAGTGCGAGCCTATAGACGTCTTCCCTGGTGCAAGTTTTTAAAAAAATGATCCATTCACTACATTTGATATGAATGAGACGGTACATGTAGAAGAGTAGAAGCAGGAGAAATAATTAGACTGAAATGTGCTCAGCAGGACAAGAACAACAAAAGCAAAATAAAACAAAACCCACTTTAAAATTTCTGCTAGAAATAAGCACGATTGTTTGGGCAGAGGACGGGTAATAGGTTATGCTTTATATACTAGAAATCCTTCCCAGCTATTCTCATTTAATTGTGGATTTGTTCTATTAACTATTCCCTGAGAGTTGTCTGACTTTAACGATCTGATGTCTCTGCTGAGGTTTTTTATTTTTTTCCTCTTTAGTTTTTGCCATTACAAAACATAATAAAGAGGATTGCATCACACAGATAATGTGTTGATCTGCCCTCACAATTTGGGAACACCAGGGTAGAACTGATGGCCGTCGTCTTCTTTTTGTTATGCTGTCTGGACTCCAGAGGTCAATAGAGTTCTAGATTTCATGTGCCTCCAGTGGTTTTGTTTTTGCTCTATTTCCTCCTAGAGTGCTTGTCTCTCATTATCTGTTTCTGAAGGCAATTATGACCATGTCGGCTTTGCCAGTGGGAATGAACAGCAGGAATGAGAAGGACACAAGCATGCTTTATACCGCAGAGTCAGCAGGCACCCCTGGAAGTGGAGGGTGTCTTAGTCTTTGGGTGAGATGAATCGTACTCAAGGGGATAGTGAAACTTCTTTATTGCTATTAGCATATTGGTTAGTTTTACTTCTATAACCTAAGGTAGGCGACAGATCTTATTAGAACTCTGTACCAGGAAGCACGACGTGATTTCCAAAAGGGTAGTCTTGCTTTTCAGGCATTAATTCACCTTGTTCAGAATGCTACTGAGTCCTGCATTGGGTTCATGCCACAGGGCGGAGAACTGTGTACCTTTCCAAAAGCAATCTTTTTTGATGTCAATTTTGGGACTTTCTTTTTCTGAGAGACCTCAGAGAGCGCACAGGGCTTTGAAAACTAAATGGTCCATTGTCGTGTTGCTTTGAAAAAGTTTTCATGTTTCTGCAATTTTGACTCTGAGACCCAAGAAATGAAAAAAGCAACAAAACCTTTGGTTTTGATATGTGACAATGTTTTAAGGAGTTTGAATTCGTTTTAACCATAACCATTTCCCTGACTCTGCGTACACTATAATTTAATATTGGCAGATAAGAGATCATAAGCTGGCTTTGTTCTTATATCCCCACATTTTATTGCAACTAATAAATTCTACCAAAGAGGCGGCGGGAGCTTTACCATACGTGATTGGAAGAATTTAGAACCAGAAAGTAGAGGGACCTTAAGGAAAATATAAGCTAATTGGGAGCCTGCCATTTTCACTACCTTCCTTGGTGAACAGGCCTGAACCCAATTAGCAGGAACAGCGAGGAGGTACAAGGAACATTCCAGCTGCCACTAAAGCTCTGTTATAGGGGAATGACTGCCCTGACCTTTAGAGAAAAATCTGTGTGTCAGGGGTCTTCCCATCAAGAAAAACTTCATCTAATTGGCAGATTATACTAAAGGAGACAAACTGGGAGGAAAAGTATTTTAAATGTGTATTGATGACGACATAATCCCAATGCGATATAGAACGTGCTGTCCCCTTGCCAGGGGAAAAGGAATCCTGCCATTCTGTGTGAAGTCTCACAGTCTCAAAGCCAGGATTTTGAAGAGCAATGACAATACATTTTTTTTGTCTTCCTCTTTTTTTTATACCTTTGTCACTTTCTCCAGCTGTGACGCTTTTGCTTTATATTTTTGAAAATATTTGCTTGTTATACGTTAATGTTCACACGATCCACAATCCTTGTATTCCTAAATGACTGGAGAGGAAGTTTCTACTAGTTTTTTTTTTTTTCTTTTCATTATAATTTGGTGGAGATCAAATTCTCAAAGATCTAGGGCAAAAATAAATGTTAAAATTAGTGAGGAAACATTTTTAAGCCTATCCAGCTTATTATATGGGGGCAATTTTACAAGAAAGTGTTTCCCTCCAGGCCAGGCAGTGAGTGATTGTGGTACTAGGTTTTGCCTTGGTTATAAAGTGGCGAGTGTCTGGGAGGACCAGGCCATGGCTCCTGCTTCCTGGCTCATCACAGTTGATTTTTATACCTACCTCCCTGCACAGAGGGCGAGTCCCTTCCTTTCTCAAGTGCTTACTAGCCTTTTCTTAAAAAAAAGAAAAAATTCTCGTTTTACTCAGACCTAGAACTATCCAGATGACAAAAAGAAGTTGGTGTCCAGAGTATGAAATGGCAATACTTTCTTAATTACCAAATTAGAAGATGGCTTGTTTGGAAATCTGGTAACAGCAGCTGCAGACCGGTCCATGCGATGACAGAATGGTCACGCCATTAAACCGTGGAAGAGCTCTAGAAGTTCTAGTGTAGGAGCAGACCGGGCTTCATGGTATCTGCTGTCGTTAATGGGACATAAGGCTGCCAAATAGTAATTGAAATGTGGTTTACTTTTTGTTTGCTTCTTTAGCTCATAGGCATGGAAGAACCAAATGACTGTTGTGATTATCTGGTAAAAAATAATCTATTCCCCCCACCCCCTTCCTCCAAATTCTAAAATCATATGGTTATCTATTAAAAGGGGATTTATTAATATTATTTCCTAATTGATAAAGCTTCAGAAAATTTGTGCAGAAGCAACATAGTTGTGTTTATCTCTAGCGACACCAAATGTGGAAACTAAAAACATCAAGATTGTTTTAAAATTTAATTTGGTTTTCATTATAAAATGCCAGAGATTTTATTTTATAACAGAAATCTGTCATGTTCACAATAACACCCAAAATAAAATCAAAACAGCTTTTTAAAAGGGCTGTCTTGTCACCTGGATATATGAATGCCAACAGCAGAGTATTTTGTTGTGCTTTGATAATAGGATGACTGCTATCGAAATACATGTGTTCAGATTATTTGTTTTAGAATATTATGATTAAAACATTCTATATGTGACTTATATTATTTTCCACGAGCCCTGCATATTTTCTACTTTTATTATCAAAGAACCGTGGGCTGGAAACATCAGTGGAAGAACAGGACGAGCGGATGGGGCCCTGGTAGACAGTCTTCTAAGAAGGCCTTGCTCATTTCCTGCAGAGCCTTCAGGCACATGCAGGGTCACTTTGGACTTGAGAGTGACAAGCAGCATTTTATCCTTGTGTGTATTTAATGACAAAAGACACAGGTTGGGAAA